CCGTATTTCTCAAAGAAATATTCTTTAACTGCATTTTCCTCATCGATGTTTCTCCTAAAATTCACCCATTTCTGGCAAAAATGGTCCTCAAAAATATGTAGGCATTTCCTGATCACGTTGGCTGCAGTTGACTGCCCCATCGACGAAATATTTTCGTTACCAACAGATTTTTGGTAACTGCCGTAGGTGATTCTGGTTACCCCTTGCAGCCATACTTGATGACGCCATTCAGAAGCGCAGCCGATGAAATTCAACGAATTTACAACANAGGGCTACACTATTCACCAGAAAAAGTTACACAAATTGTAAATGTGTGCTGTGCTATTCATAACGTTTGTATATTTTTCAAACATCAAATTCCATTGGAGAGCCCAGATATGGAGAATCTTGTTAGTTACGAAGAAGAACTGGAAAACAGTAACATTTCGAATACAGCTGCCCTTATTAGAATGAGAATAGCAGAGAATTTGTTATAAACGCAGTTTTATTATAAAGTATGAGTGGCTGACTTCCAAAACGTCAATTGCTTTGTATACGTACAAAGTATAAGGTTCCATAATGTCGAACTACAAAATATTGACAATGTATACTGTTCCAAAAAGCAGCCGATTAGTTATCGGAACGTATCGCTTGAGCAATCAGTGCATCAGAAACAAAGTTGATGCTTCGTTTGTTATTGGTTACCATTGGTGTTTTAAATATGGAAAATTCAGAAAAAATTTTCATTGCTATATTGAATATTTTAAATATGCAATGTATATGGTTGCAATGTGTCGCAACTCTGCATATACATACAGTTTGAATACCGCAGTATAACAGTTTCCAAACATTGTATTGATAAGTTTTGGAAGTCAGCCTGTGTTTAGATTTCAGGTACACCAGCAAAATTCATTTGTCTTAAAATTAATAAAATATTTACATAAAAATTCAACAAAATATCTTTTCAGTCTTAAATCCTAAATCTACATATAAACTAAGTAAATGCAACAAAATATCAATTCACACTTAAATCTAAAAAATATTTACACAAAAAAAAAA